CCTGCATGCCCGCACGCGCCGCCATCAGCACTGTTCACGCGCACCGACACGCCTCACGCGTCTTCCTCGCCGTTTCCTGCAACTTGACACCGCCATGTCATCAGACACGTCAGCCGTTCGACACAGTCAGCAGCCGTGTCACCTGCCACATTAGCAATTTGACCAGTCAACCTGCCACGTCACCTGAAAATCTCCATGGACCTGACACGTCAGATTTGGTGGACCCCACTTTGCCTACGTGTCTGACACGTCAGTTACGCCACGTCAGCATAACTGGGTTTTGATCCGGTGTGGCGCAGCGACTATTCCTCCTGCCACGTGGCTTCATCTGCAGCGTCCAGTTATCCTAAATTTTGATTGTTTAAATCGGAGCCATCTGAAGTCCGATTTGGGTGATCTCAGTGTCGTTTCCAGCATTTTTGGCCATTCCAGACACATCTGTAAGGTCAGATTTTGGAGATTCGAATCCGAGAAAGAGTAAAAATGGTTGATGAAATAAAGGCTGCAGGAATTGAAAAATTTGATGAAACTGATTTTGGATATTGGAAAATGCAAATTGAAGACTATCTATATGGGAAGAAACTTCATCTTCCTCTGTTGGGGAGCAAGCCAGAAAACATGTCAGAAGAAGATTGACAAATTCTTGATAGACAAGTTTTGGGCATTATCTGACTATCATTATCAAGAAGAGTTGCTCATAATGTTATAAAAAAGAAATCCACAGCAAGATTGATGGAAGTCTTGTCTGGGATGTATGAGAAGCCATCAGCAAATAACAAAGTGCATTTGATGAAGAAGATGACAGAAAGCACCTTTATTACACAGCATCTTAATAATTTCAACACCATCACAAATCAATTGTCATCTGTTAAAATTGAGTTTGATGATGAGATCCGAGCACTTATTTTGCTAGCTTCACTTCCAAGCAGTTGGGAAGGTATAAGAACAGTCGTAAGCAACTCAGCTGGAAAATCCAAATTAAAATATGATGATATCCAAGATCTGATTTTAGCTGAAGAAATATGAAGGAAAGACTCGGGTGAAAGCTCATGTTTAGGTTCAGCTCTTAACATCAATACTCGAGGAAGGAGACAAGACAGAGGCTTATGCAAAGGCAGATCAAAATCCAGGTACAGAAGCAAAAGCAAGTTTGGACCCAGGAAGCAGGTTAAATGTTGGAATTGTGGCAAACCTGGTCATTTCATGAGGAGTTGCACAAAACCAAAGAAACCTGAAGCTAATTCTGCAAATGCCACTACAGACGAGGTACAAGATGCTTTGATCCTTGCTGTGCATAGTCCTATTGATGATTGGGTTCTTGATTCTAGAGCTTCATTTCATTGTACTCCACACCATGAAATGATGCAAAATTATACTGCTGGAAATTATGGGTTAGTCTATCTGGTCGATGGACAACCATTGGATATTGTGGGTATAGGAGATGTGCAAATCAAGATAATGAATGGATCATATGGAACTTGCAAAATGTAAGGCATGTTCTTGAACTAAAGAAGAAGTTGATCTCGGTCGGACAACTTGATGATAGTGGCCATTCAATCCTTTTCTCTGGAGGAATGTGGAAGGTATCAAAGGGAGCAATGGTTTTGGCTCGTGGAAAGAAAACTGGCACCCTGTATATAACCACAAGATCAGCAGATATAATTGCCTCTACTGAAGCAGAAAATCAAGCACAGCTATGGCATTGTAGACTTGGCCATATGAGTCAAAAGGGGATGAAGATACTTCAGTCAAAGGGAAAGCTGCTAGAGTTAAAAAAATGTTGATCTAGACATTTGTGAAAGCTTTGTTCTTGGAAAACAGAAGAAACTCAGTTTCTTAAAGGTTGGCAGGATCTTAAGACCAAGAAAGCTAGAACTGGTGCACACAGATTTATGGGGACCAGCGTCAGTAGCATCTCTTGGCGGTTCTCGGTACTATGTGACTTTTATTGATGAATTCAGCAGAAAGGTATGGGTCTACTTTCTGAAAAATAAATCTGATGTGTTTGACACATTCAAGAAATGGAAGGCTATGGTTGAGACTGAATCAGGTTTGAAGTTGAAATGCTTACGATCTGATAATGGAGGAGAATACATTGATGGAGGTTTCAAGGAGTATTGCGCTGTCAACGGTATCAGAATGGAAAAGACAGTTCCAGGCACACCACAACAGAATGGCATTGCTGAACGGATGAACCGGACCATCAATGAACGAGCTAGAAGCATGAGGTTGCATTCTGGGTTACCTCAAACATTCTGGGCTGATGCCGTTCATACTGCAGTTTACTTGATCAACCGTGGACCATCAGTTCCTTTGGAGTTCAGACTGCCCGAGGAAGTCTGGAGAGGAAAAGAAGTACAGCTTTCTCATCTAAAGGTCTTTGGGTGTGTTTCCTATGTGCATGTAGACTCTGATGCTCGCAACAAGCTGGATGTCAAATCAAAGAAATGTTTCTTTATTGGCTATGGAGATGAAGAATTTGGATTTCGGTTTTGGGATGATCAGAACAGGAAGATTATCAAAAGCAGGAACGTGATCTTCAACGAGAAAGTTTTGTACAAAGACAAATCAAGTACAGAACTAGAGATCATTGATTCAGATATGAGTCCACAGAAATCTGAATTCATATGATTAGAAGGGCTTCCTGATGTTACCACTCAAGAGTCCTTACAAAAAAGTTCAGGTACATCAGTACCCACCATTACTACACAAGACAATGCAGAGCCAAGTGAACCAACTGTTCATAGGTCTTCAAGGACTATAAAGCCGCCACAACGGTTCACACTTCTACTGAATTATATCTTGCTGACCGATGGTGGTGAACCATTAACTTATTAAGAATCCTTACAAGATGGAAACTCGAGCAAGTGGGAGTTAGCCATGAAGGATGAGATGGAGTCATTGTTGAAGAACAAGACTTGGGAGTTAACCAAACTGCCTGAAGGAAAGAAGGCTTTGCAAAACAAGTGGGTTTACAGAGTAAAGACTGAGCATGATGGAAGCAAACGGTTTAAGACAAGACTTGTTGTAAAAGGGTTTCAGCAAAAGAAAGGGATCGACTATTCTGAGATATTCTCTCCAGTTGTGAAGCTTACAACAATCAGAGCTGTTCTGGGGATAGTAGCTGCAGAAAATTTACATCTTGAACAATTAGATGTAAAAACAACATTTCTTCATGGTGAATTGGAGGAAGATATTTACATGCAACAACCAGAGGGGTTTGCAATACCAGGAAAGGAGAGTCAAGTTTGCAAGCTAAAGAAGAGTCTATATGGTTTGAAGCAAGCTCCAAGACAATGGTACAAGAAGTTTGATAACTTCATGTGTAGTACGGGATACACAAAATATCAGACTGATCATTGTTGCTATGTCAAACATTTTGACAACTCCTATATCATTTTACTGTTATATGTGGATGATATGTTAATTGCAGGATCCAGCATAGAAGAGATTGACAAGCTAAAGCAACAATTGTCAAAACAGTTTGAAATGAAGGATCTGGGAGCTGCTAAACAAATACTTGGCATGAGAATCATCAGAGACAAAGACAAAGGCATACTAAAGCTTTCACAAGTAGAGTATGTCAAGAAGGTTCTCAGCAGGTTTAGTATGGATACATGGACCAGATTCCATACGCCTCAGCTATCGGCTCTTTGATGTATGCCACGGTCTGTACTAGACCAGATATTGCTCATGCAGTGGGAGTTGTAAGTCGATATATGAGCAATCCTGGAAAGCAGCATTGGGATGCAGTGAAATGGATCATGAGGTACTTAAAAGGCTCATCGGAGACATGTCTTACTTTCACAGCTGGCGGTTTGAAACTTGAAGGCTTTGTAGATGCTGATCTAGCAAGAGATGTTGATAGTAGAAAGAGTACTACAAGTTATATATACACTCTAGGAGGCACTGCTGTTTCTTAGAGTTCTACCTTACAAAAGATAGTTGCTATTTCAACAACAGAAGCTGAATATGTTGCAGTTTCAGAGTCTGTAAAAGAGATAGTATGGCTACAGAGTTTCCTGCAAGAATTGGACAAGATGCATGGAAAAGGTACTTTGTATAGTGATAGTCAGAATGCAATCTTCCTTGCCAAGAATCCAGCATTTCACTCCAGAACAAAGCACATACAGATCAAATATCACTTCATCCGACAATTGCTCGACGATGAACAACTGTTACTTGAAAAGATCTGTGGAAGCAAGAATCCAGCCGACATGTTAACCAAAGGAGTTACTCTCGATAAACTGAAGCTGTGTAAAGCTTCAGTTGGTCTTGAAGATTAAAAGACAAACCTAACACCATTTGTGTCCAAGTGGGAGATTGTTATGTGTGTGGACACAAATGGATGGTGGCAACCATGGTTGACATAGTTATAGTCAAATGGTGGGTGTCTAACTTGCCCACCATTGTTGAACAATTGTTTTCCTCATCAGCTATAAATAGAGGGTGCATTGATAGCTGATATAGACCACGAAATAGAGAGAAACACAGAGAGAGAGCTAAGGGTGAGAGTTGAGTTGAGTAGAGAAGTTTTCTCCTCCTCCTTGTTTTGTTGTTTGTATTGCTTTTGAACTTGATTAATACAAACCAGTAGCTCCGTGGAGTAGGCAAGTTGCCGAACTACGTAAATTTGTGTGTGTTTGAATGCCGGAATGTCCTAACACTTAATTTGTCTCATCCTTTTTTATATGTATAATATTAGAGAGTATATTAAAAAGATTATAAAAATTATAAATGGTAGAGAATAATATAAATCAGAATCTTATATAATAATTTAAGCTATTAAATTGAGATGATTTTTTAACATGATATCAGAACCTTGATAATCAAGGAGTTATAAGTTAACAAAAAAACTATCTATATTTTTTTATTATATTATAATTTGATATCAACAAACAAATCTGAAGAGATTATTTTTTGTATATATAGGTGAAGTTTGAATCCAAAACGGATCATTGCACAGTGGCAACAGCAGCAAGAGATGAAACGTTAAGATTTTAGAATGTTTTTGGAGTTCCAGAAGTGGCTGCTAAAGCTGCTTCTAAAGCAAATCCTGAGCCATTTTCTCACTTGAATCGCCTTCGCTGAAGCTTAAATGAAAACAGAACAACAATTCAATAAATATCGCAGAAGATGTGCCAATAATTTGTCTCATCCTTGTATTCTACCTCTCTTTAGTTAATTTATAGACGAACACACATACTACAAAGATAAAAGGCAGAAGACATATTTTGATGGGATTATCTTTCTTTTGACGAGCATATACATACTCTACTGTTGAGTAAAAACATTGCCAAACTGCACCAAACAATCCAAAAACCTCAGCAATAGTGCCAAAAGTTCTTCCAGATGGTAAGGTATCGCGATGAAAATTGAGCAATAGGGTCTTCTCATTCCTTGCTTCCTTTCGAGCAGTGTAAAATTCAATGCCAGCAAGAAGCAGAGCTATAAATGCCAACACCATCCCAGTTAATGCATGACCTAGCTGGTCAAAAACCGCTGATAGAATCTCTAGAATTAAGTTTGTCATCGGCAATGTCCATTCTATTATTTCCTATAAAAAGATGAGTAATAAACCAAGTAATTAAGGAAAAAAAATGTTTTCGTAGTTGAATTTATTGAATAAGATATATTAATTTGATCCACTTACTCTTACAATAGATGAAGTGTTTCCATCATCCAGCAGCTCTTTTGTCTGCACCATATTTTATTAATTATTAATAAACAATACAATTTTTTTCCAAAAATAAAATTATGTATGAATAGTCTTACAATAGATGAATTGTCTCCACCATCCAGCAGTTCTTCTGTCTGCACCATTTAATTATATTAATAAACAAGGCAACTTTTTCCAATAAAAAATAAATAAACTTCTGTATGAATTTTCATCTTCTAACCATATTTATGTGGCCAAGTTGGTATTTAATGACATTCTGATCATCTTTTTACTCTAATGAATATCGGTTCATCAAACAATATTTTCTAATATGTGGAGGCTGCCTTTAGGTATTTCTTCACCTCTTCGACAACCTCTTGCACAAACCCCGAATCAGGACTGTTCAGAGTGAAAGAAAGTCAACAGTAACAAAATAACAGAGCATGCAAGCTACAAAAAAAAATATCTTTATTGATCTATCTATATTATTTACTAATGTCTTTGAAAGGTCTACAAGTTGTGTTAGTAACCATTGATTAATAATTAATAATATTTGCTTAATTATCTTAATTCAATAGCATAAATAATTAAGTGAAGTTTTAAAATATAATTTATATAATTTTTTAATATTTTTTCAAATGAAAGTTTTTTAAATTTGAAATTTACATAGACTTATACTACCTTGTATTTAATTTTTATCAAATAAAATAAAATGAAAAAATTCAAACTCGTAACTACTTGATTAATAAGATTTTAATACTATGTCAAATAATCATTTTAAACTAATAATTTAAGTTAAAATCTCAAGATATAATTTATATAATTCTTTAACAAAATACAATGTTTTTGAAAGCTTTACAGATTATGTTGGCATTAAATCATGTTTTAATTATAATATTTGCTTGTGTGTGCATACCACATTTATAATCTCAATCATTTTAAAAAATCAAGCAATTACTAAGTTCTAATAAATTAAAGTAAGGATGATTTTTTTTTCTACATGATAAAACGCAAGCCCTAAGTATGTTTTTTTTTTAAGATAAATTTTTAGATTCAAACTTTTTTAATTATTATAAAAACTAAAAATAATAAATATATACGGTTGAACAATATTATTTACTTGAAAGCTCTAGGTCGAACCAATTCCTAGGGCCCAATAGAGCCCTAAAGATGAAAATGGAGAGAAGGGAGGAGGTTGGCCTGACCAAATCCTACACCTAGCCTAAATGAGGGTGGTGGTAGCCCAGCCAAAGGTGGGAAGATGGGTTACAAAAGATGGGGAGTGGGGAACAAAAGAAAGAATAAAGAGGGAAGGGAGAAGGTTGCCATAAACAAACCCAAAAATGGTGATTTAGTCTGGTTTACAAAGATTGAGAGTTTTAATTCATTATATAGAGATGTACCTTTAAAAAAATTATATAAATGATCTACTAGATATTTTTATGAACCACAACTAAGATAAAACTTGGTAACGATTAGCCTAAAATAATAATTTAAAATGACAATAATATGAGGTGATCGTTGTATTAAACTCAAAATTTTACAAGAAAATCTTTAAGTTATTTTGCCTGAGATAATCACTTATGAACTCTTATAAAACAAGTTTATAAGTTCCAAGCCTATTAAAAAAAAAAACCCTCCAAAACCTAGTGTACAGTCAAGAAAATAAAAGTTTTTCCTGACATCATGAATAAGGATGTACGATTTTTAATATATAAAATAATTATATTGTTAAATTAAATTATTATTTTAACTCAGCTATTTTGTTTAACTGCTGGAAGAACTGAGAAAAAGAATATATAATTAGGATGCTTTTAAGGGTTAATAATTAGAATCAAAATAATGATTCTAAATATTAGGTTTTGTAATTATTCAGAACATTAGATAGTATAATATGTTATAAAATTAAAGAAAAAAATGAATGATAGAAATAAAGAGAATGAATGATGATATTGTGTTAAGTTTTTTTTATTATATAAATGGATTTATTAAATTTCTCTGTACGGAAGATTGTTTTTTAAATTATTTAAGAAATAACTTAGTTTTTGTTGATATACAAACTTATTCTAAAATATACTTAATCAAATAAAAAAAAGATATTTTCTTAAATTCTAGTCGGTTATTGATTATAAACCTTGCTATAATAGGTAGTTAATGATACTCAATAAATAAAAGAGATAAAATTTGAATAGATGTTTGGACGAAAAGAGACAATAGTAGCCGTTGGAATGATCTGATAATTCTCATCATAAATAGGATGTCATTAAGAATTATGAATTAAGATTAAGAAAATACACTGTGAATGATTTATGGAAATTTGTTTTGATGGCATTGGTAATATTATAGAATATTTTAGTGTGTGTGTGTGTGTTAAATTTTTTAATTAAATTTGGATTATATAAAAAAAATAAGATGTATAATGGATGGCTTGTTCTCAATTGTATATATTAGATAGATTCGATGAGGTTTTTTTTTTATAAAAAAATTAGCATGTGTATTATTTGCTATAGTTTTATTGGTTGTCAGCATGACAACAAAAAGTGACTTAGAGAATCGATCCTTAATGAAGACAATGTAGAATTTTCTTATACAACTCTCAGGGCCAGGGTGAAAATGCCCCCTTCCCGCCAACTCTCACATTGTCATTTCTCATTTTATGTTCTAATTAAAATTTAATAGCATGCGCAACCATTAGGTTTGTTATAAATTAAAATCTTTAAAAATTCGTGAGTTTGTTATATTTTAAAACACTCAAATACTAAATAAATTAATTTATAATTATAGTGAGACATAAAAATACATAATTTTATTTATCTATATAGTTCGTTGAAAAAGTTTATTAATTTATACTTGTCCTATGTTTAAACTGTAATTAGGAAAAAACATTCTAACAAATAAATATAGAGTTAATATATGGATTTTTAAACTAAATAAAAATATAAAAACAATATTTAATTTCCTGAAATTATCGTGCATCTTAATTTCAAGTTTGATGGTTTTGTACGAAGTACGAACGGAGAGATAGCAGTTCTCTGATTTGCTAATAACATAATGCAAAATATGTATCAAAGTCGAATATAAAAAAAGTCGAGGATATGTACCCATTTTCCATATCCTTGAGATGCCATCCAGGTAGTTTTCCAGCTTCCTCAAAAGCTTCTCTCCACCTTTTCACCGTCTCCAATTTGTCCTTAAATATTTCTTCGTGTCTGTTAAAAGCATCGGAGAAAACACCTTTCTGTTCTTAAACATCTGAAGAATCTAAGTTATAGAAAACTGGAAGAACAACATGTCCAGAGGTACGTTTGCACTGGAGAATCTCGACGAGTTCTTCAAGACACCACCTGGAGGAAGCATAGCCTTTGGAGAAGATGACTATAGAAATCCTTGATTCTTGAATTGCCTTAATGAATTGGGAGAATTCTTTTTGATCTAGAGTTAGATCGTTATCTTCCTGAAAGACATAGAACCCTGCGAGACGTAAGGCAGTGTAAATGTGATTTGTAAACTCGTTGCGAGTATCTGGTCCTCTGAAACTGATAAACACATCATGGGTCCATCCATGTCTAGAAGAAGACGGCGGAGAAGAAGACTGAGACTCAAAGGGCATGGAAGCCATAGAAAGGCACAGTTCAGCAATCCAAGTCCAGAAGAACAGAACTGAGGCTCAAGACTCGTTGTTTCTCTCTTGGAGAGAGATCTGTCGTCCCGTCCGAGAGTCTAACAGTCAACGCACTTGTTTCTAATCATTTACAGGACAGATAATAAGGGATTTTTCGTAGCATATGATAATTATTTGGTAATTTAACATCTACACCAATTAGTCAATGCAATGTAGCAATAGTTAAAACTCAAGTTGGAATAAAATAATACAGAAACCGGTGAAGCATGAAGTTACATAGAGCCTTCGGAGTGGTTAATTACAAGGTACCGAGTAGACGAGGCTTCTTAGACTATGCACCGTAATAAGTCATGTTCTCTTTGTTTTTTCTTTAGTCTAGTCGACGGAATATCAGAAATTTGTTGCATGTCTTTATTCTCCAATTTATATAGGCCATAAATTTATCATAAATACCTGGTCATGAATTTGATTGCTATTATGTCCGTTAGTAAACAACCTTTTATCGTGGTCGAATGGTCCGAAGTACAGCTTTTCTTTGCTTAATGAATCCGTCATGAATTGTCACAAACTGTCACATTGTAGGATGTGGACTCTCTGTATAATTGCTTCTTCATGGTACATTTACGTGATCATGCAATGAAAGCTTCACCAACCAATAAACTGTTATCGTGCTGTGCTCCTTACGGTTGAATTTTCAAATGGACTGATGCATCATGAAGTTGGGATTTCTGTAGTTAGTATACTCACTTGGATTGTTGGATATAGATTATGATATGGTGTCTCAATATACAACTTGTTTCCCTGCTGCCACTTGTGGCTGATTTGTCAAGGCATTGTAAACAATCTCAACTAGATTATTTTAAATCATTTATAAGAATAAAATATACATATGTTTTAATTTATTCTTTTTACATTAAGCTTTTTAATATATTTTGAGCTTATTGAAATTTATTTTTATGAATTTAGTATTTTTAAGAGATTTTATATATTAATTGTTAAAATATAAAAAAATTTATATTTTATATTTTGAATCTTATTTCTTGTGATAGGTTTTTCATTGTGTTATAATTTTAAAATATAAATGTGTGCTCAATCCAAGTTAAAATACACAAATCAAGTTTTTCAGGAAAGTATTATAAATAAAAATTTGAATTTATTTAAATTTCTAATCAGAATTACAAAATTGAGCTGAAATACTACGGCCAACAAGATTCTCTCTGCTTTGTCAAACATCTCCCGCACATTTGCTTCACTTTCTCCAAACCACATTGTTAGCACTCAGGACCTTCGACACTTGGTGCATCCCAATCAATGTCTTCAACGACTTTGCTTCCACTGTCATCAAAGCTTTTGCTAAGCATCAATTCTCTTTCCCGTCGACTGTACATGTTCCCAGCACCAATATTTTTTTGTTTGAAATAATTAATTTAAGCTTGATGTCCTCTATGAACCTCAGTTTCCAGACTAGAAGATTGTACATTGTTTAATAGCTCTTGGTATTTTCATATCGTTTTGTGTTATAAACATGGTAAAAAGAGGAAAACTGATATAACTCAATTTTACTCCATCCAAAAGTCCAGACAAAATTTAATAGATTTTAAATATTTTTTAAAATGCAAAAAAAATTAAAAATGGATTTAGGGCAAATTGGTCAAATAAACAAGTCTTTGGTAGCAAGAACTAAACCCGAGCAGGAACAATTATGGCAAAAATGATTTCTAAGAAACTATTAAGAGTAATTGAAGAAATTAGAAGATGAAAGACCAAATTGAATAAGATGGCAAAGTTTATGTAAACCCTGACTTGAAAATGTAAATCCATGAGTTTAATGACGTGATTTAAAATCAAAGGATAATGAATTTATATCAAATTTAAATTAAAAGATGAAAATCTACAATTTCTATAATATGGAATCTTGGACCAGTAATTAGTAATAGAGATTGATAATACACACACACACCAGTAAATGGTGATTTGACTGGATTAAGACATAAATATGCGAGATAGGGGTATTTATGTAATAAAAAGGAAAAGCAACCCCTCTCTCCTCTCTAAGAAGGCCGACAGCAACGTGACAGGAGGGGAGAGTGGATTTTTCTTATTTCCTCCTAAAATTCTTTGTTTCTCTCAAATCCAAGGCATTAAAGGTGGATTAGGAGGGTTTTAACAAGAAGATCAACTAGGTTAAGAATCTTGGCGTGAGAGAGAGGTTAGAAGCTAGGGTTGAGGAGTGAAAGTGTCAAGCTAGACGGAAGAAGGAGATTTTTGGGGAAATTGGGCAAGAGGCATGGCAAATTGTGATTTATTAATAGTGGTAGGGTATAATTTTTTATTTTTTTTTGCTTTAACTACATTTTTGTTATGAAATTGTGGTGGGATTAAGAATCCCCAATTTATGCATGTATTAAAAATCTTAATGATCGCTTCTAATTATTGTTTAATTTTGAATTTATCTCAAGACTAAAATTTATTTAATTCAATGTTCTGATTTGGACCTCCATGGTGGTTATGGCAACCGCCACCGCGAACATTCTCCCACTATGATCTTGATTTTTTATTTATTTTTTTGGGTGGCTAAATTTCGAAGTTGAGAATTTGCATTCTTGAAAAAGCCTTCTGCAATGAGCTTCTTAAAAATCAGTCATCAATTTTTTTTAATGTAAACTCATCCGATTGCTTGAAGATTCAACATTAATACCACAATTAAAATATTTCATATGAAGGTGAAAATGCAGGGCCTTCCATCTTCTCACATAAGAACATTCTTCTTCTTCTTCTTCTTCTTTTTCCTTCCTTCAAAAATATTCAATTCACGGTGTATAATTAATTTAGCGTTCATTACGAATTGTATATGCTCAAACATACATTACCGAAGCAGTGTATAATGAATAGAAAGAAATCAACCTCTCAAACTAAAACTAAACGGTAAAAAAACATATTTTTGATAAATTTTAAATGTTAACAATTTTAAATAAATAAGTTAGACAAACTATTTATATTAGTTCTAAATCAAAAAAATTTAAAAAAATATATATTGAAAGATATACAATTATTTCAGATCTACCTACATCACAATAATATGATAAAAATAATTATTTAAAAAATTATTTTGTCGTATTCTAATTTTTAAATTTTTAATAAAAAAATGAATGAATGAAAGAATAATTTGAGAATTGGGTTAAAACAACAAGGCTGAAATTATTAAATTTGAGAGTCAATTTGATCAATTGATAAGTTTGCGGAATTAATTAAATTTTGGATAAGTTTAATTAATGAAATCAGGAGTTTAATGGAAGAATTGATAAGTTTGGGAACTTAATAAAACTTTGATTTTAATGAATTAATGAACTAGGAACTTAATTGAATAAATAACAAAGTTTGAGGTAGATGCAAGGTAAAATTACAAGAAATTAAAGTCAAAGGACCAAATTAAAATTTCAGGGGTATTTTAGGGATTTTAATTGTTTTTTCAAGGGGTAATTTTGAAAGAATTAAAAGTTGAAGAGTCAATGAAGGACCAAATTGAATACTCCAAAAACCAATGACTGTTTTGTAAATGGCGCTATAATTTAGGGGCCTAATTGAAATTAAACCATGTAGGGGCCAAATTGAATAATCCAAAAACCAAAATTAAAAATTGATTTTTCATTGATTAAGGACCCATGTGATAAATATCAGAAGTTTAGGGGCCAAATTGAAAATGGCCATATCAGTGAATGTTTTGTAAACCACTGTTCATCTTCTTCCTCATTCGGGAAGATTTATCCAATGGGAAATCCAGTGTGATCATGGACCACGATGCCAACGATCCCTCACGGAACGTGCCTCATTTCTGGAGGCATGAACAGACGACCTTCTAGCCTCAAATAAAAAAAAGGAACTGGGACAGGCGGACTAAAAAAACACACACAGAGAAATGTAAGGATTACGGACACCACCTATCTCCACATTGGTATGATATTGTCCACTTTAGGCCTAAGCCCTCATGGATTTGCTCTTGGGTTATACCCAAAAGGCCTCATACCAATGGAGATATTTGTCCATCCTTATATACCCTTGATCCTCCCCATTTCTAACCAATGTGGGACTTTGGTCGCATACCCAACAATCCTTCCCTCGAACAAAGGACCACCGAGCCTCTCCTCAAACGATCATTTATCCATCCACTCTCTGCCAACCAGGATTTTTCATCTTCTACTTCATCGTGTTGGGGTCAGGACACGTCCATGAAGCATCCGGAGAGCACTACCTGACTTGAGAGTTTTTGCTCTTTCTAGGTCAACTCCTCTTCACCGTGTTGAGATCAGGACACGTCCATGAAGCATCCGGAGCACACCGCCTATCCAATAGAGCTGATTCATAGATCACATCATGATTTAATTAGGGTCCACCACCTTTTGTTCGCCATTCCAAGAATTCATCCATCATGGCTAACTCTGGGGCATGGCTCTGATACCACTTGTAAGGATTACGGACACCACCTATCTCCACATTGGTATGATATTGTCCACTTTAGGACTAAGCCCTCATGGATTTGCTCTTGGGTTATACCCAAAAGGCCTTATACCAATAGAGATATTTGTTCATCCTTATATACCCTTGATCCTCCCCATTTCTAACCAATGTGGGACTTTGGTCGCATACCCAACAAGAAAGACAGAGATGAAAAAAAAACAGGAACAACGGAGGAGTCGAGAACGAACAAAAAAGGAAGAAACCAAGAAAACAAAAAAAATAAAAAGCAGAAAAATATGAACGACCCAGAATCAAAGACCACCAAAGAGAACCGGCATCACCATCGTCTTCGTTCCTTCCTCTCTGAAAAACCAGAACTAAAGAGGAGACGAACGAACAAGAGAGGAAGAGAGAACCAGAGAAAACAGTGGGCACAAAAGGAAGACAGAGACAAGCAGAAGGAAAGAACATAAGCAGACGAAAATCACCGAGACCAGAACCAGCGTTGCCACTGTCTTCGACGTTTCCAGAACCAGGTACGCCCATTTTCCTTTCATTCTTTGCAAACATTATTTGAACACCGTGCGAAGGTAATTTTTTAATTATTTTTACACTGTTTATGCATGCGTGAAGTTAGTTCACGCATGCCTATTATATAGCCAGCCGGATCGCTGCATTACTAGCCAAGTCAGAACATATTTGAATGGGAGGTGGCTTGTGCCTTCTTTTTTTTTATACTAAAAAGCATATTTTTATAATTTTTAGAGTTATGATTTGTGTTTAAAATATTGTATTCTTAATAAAAAATTATCTCATTTCCAGACCAAACACACTATAAGCTGTTTGCTCAGACATAATCAAAAAATAAAACATAACTTAGTTGAGATTGGGCCGGGCCGGGCCCAGGACCAATTGTCTCTATTTGTATTGGGCCAAGAAGATGTTTGATAAAACACATCCTTATACCTTATCCTTTTATTTTTACTTTTTTATAGTTTGATATCTAATCAAATAGATTTTTTTAGATATTAGAAAAATACAAAACAATTCATGGATCATTTTGAATTTATTTGTGAGTCCCTCGTATGTTTTTATAGGTATTTTACTATATAATTGATCTGTGAATTTTTACTATGAAATGCAAATATAATATGTGATACATTTTAATATATATATATATATATATATATGCACATATTAATTTTAAAATAATTTATTAGTTTATTCATTGATGTCAGAGTCAGGAATACTATATGTTTTTTTTGCTACGATCAGAGTTGGAAATATCCATAGTTGAATATTCACCAACACTAGAGTCAAGAATATTACAAGTAAAGCAACATAGCTTAAACCAATAAAATTTTAGTAATTTAAAACAAAAATCAATAATGCAGTCTGTCTCAGACATGATATTTAAGTAGTGATAATATCTCCCTTTTACGTAACCAATCTCGTATAATATAACTTCTATTAACCAGTTAGGATTCCTAATAATCATAATATAATATTAAGTGATAACTCTTTAAATAAAACCTTTCCATACCAAAAAATAAGATGTCAAAAATCTATTTTTTTTTATTTTCATTAAAAAAAATTAAAACCGCGTAATGTCAGTTGCAATATATTTGATACACAAAATATATCAAATAGAAAGAAACAAAGATTTCTTAAATTTTAAAATTATAGTTAAAAAAAAACTCGACTTTTGATAAATTCTAAATGTTGATAGTTTTAAATGGTTCTAAAAATAAGTTAGAAAACACTATGTACAGTAGTCTAAGATCTGAATCTGAATCTCTGAAATTCATATTGAAAGTTATAATACAACTAATATATAATCCAACTAATTCCTTAATAAAGTTATACAATAAAAATTATAACTTGCTTACAATAGTACACTTCTTTACAATAGCATTATCGCCGGGCTTGACAGACACTTCCAATTCGTTTCCCCTTCTATTGCACCTTGAATCCTGCTAAATAGGATATAGATCACCCAAGAATGATCTCCACCTTCTATTGCACCTTGAATCATGCTAAATAGGGTATAGATCATCCAAGAACGATCTCCATCTTTGACTTCGTGCCCTGAAGAAATGTCCAAACATGGTCGTGTATAAAACAATTCATTATCATCTTTCTTTTTTCTTATAGAAGCAGAACAAAGAGAAAACCTCGTCCATTCCCCTTCTTCAATGGCTCCATAGACACTTCTTTACAATAGTATTATCGCCTGGCTTGACAGACACTTCCAATTCGTCTCCACCTTCTATTGCACCTTGAATCCTGCTAAATGGGATATAGATCACCCAAGAATGATCTCCATCATAACCTCCATTCCTTGAAGAAATGTCCGGTCGTTTATAAAACAATTCATTATCATCTTTCTTTTTCCTGATAGAAGCAGAACAAAGAGAACAGCTCGTCCATCCGCCTTCTTCAATGGCTGCATAGACAGTCCATACAATTAGTCCTGGAATTAAACCATCTGAAATGGGTGGTATACGAAATGTTGAGGAAGATCTATCTCTTTGATATTGCATAAACCAATGCGGTACATCGCTACCCGGGAGAACAACGTCAGGAAGCTTTCCCTTGGACAAAACCTGAAGAAGAATCTCCTTAAAATTGTTTGACAAATTGTTACAGTTTTCCATGCGAATGACTGGTTTGTTTTCTACACTCTCCAAGCCTTGAATCTCAGCTAGTTTTCCACAGCCACTCAGTAACAGATCCGGCGCTGTTTTTGACTGAAGTGACACCTTTTCCAATGATCCGCAATTACGTGCCACCAAAGCTCTTAAACTCGAGGGGATCTCTGAGATAAATAGAAGATTTAGACAGCGTGACAAGTCCAATTTCTCCAGCTTTGCAAGGTCGCCAATGCCGGCAGGTAACTCGGAGAAATCATTTACTGCCAAATTCAGATCCTGGAGAGAAGATAAACTCCCCAGATTGATGGAAATATCATTGTTAGATAAATAGCGATTACTAATATCGAGTGTTGTCAATGAGCTCAAACCAGAGAAGGAAGTGGCAGGAAAGGTTGTTGCTTGATAAGCTCTTCCAAACCATACGCTGAATGATAAGAAGTTGATTCACAAGAAAAACTAACACCATGTCCAAGTCCACGCAACAATAACTTTTTGAGCTTCTTCAAAATTCCAATGGAAGAGGGTAGATTGTCAACTCCGGTTCCATCTAATAGAAGATCCTTTAAGACTTTCATATTACCCAATTTCTCTGGCAATTTCTTAAGACTAGTGCAGCCCTGCAGGTTCATAGTTTCAAGAGATTTCAACTCAAAAATGCTTTCTGGAAGCTTCTCTAGCCTCCTACATCCCTTTAAATTCAAGAAAACAAGTTTTTTCAATTCTCCAACAGATTGGTGAATATCAGCTAAACTTCCGCAATTTTCTAGAATTAGTCTCTCCAAACTAGGGAGTCCAGAGAAGTTTGGTGTTTTAGCAAAGAACCTAGAATTGCTGAGATCGATGACTTTCAGATTGTTTAGACACTGCCGAAGCCAGAAGAAAATAAAAAACCGAAGTGAGCAAGGAAATAGAAACATAACTTCCACTAAAACAAACTATTTTATGGAAACAAAAGACTTATCATCTGCTTCATACCTTGGTCTCCTTCCAGAGTTCTCTGATATTGCTGTGCTGCATGTCAAGAACAACTAGGCTGTCTAATCGAAATTTGTGTGGTAAGGTTTCTAAAGAGAATTTATGCCAGCAAAGCCATATCAATGCCTTGGAAATATGTTCGTAGTGTCCGCGGACTTGTCCTCCACTGAATTTGAGTAACTGCAAAGATGTCATGGGTGCAAATGATGTGCTCGGAACCACATCTTTTGATGATTGAGCGTCTAGCACGATACCCTCCACTACCTCTGTGCCCTAAAAAACAACAAGAATTAAACAGGAAACAATAGTTTATTATCATGGGAAAGCTTCTGTGGAAAAAGTCTTCATCAAATGTTGCCTAAATGAAGAACAATTAGTTATTACCGAACAATATTCATCGAGTACAGCCATTATATCTTCGCGACGCCAAAGTCTGCTACGCTTTCCGGGATGGTTTGGAGCCATTTGATGAATGATCTCCCTTCCCATGTCTCGTAAGAGATTATCCATCTGTAACTCATTCTGACTGTTGACTGTTAAAAGGGATCTTTCCCTGAGAATATCAAAACCCATTTCTGGATAAAAACCACGACCATCGAGTATTTTTCTCACGTCATCTTTATCCATACCATTAAAGAAACACGCAATATCAAGGAACATACCCTTCACTTCACCATCCAAATCATCCAAACTAGTTATAAGTTGCCTCTGAATTTGATGTGGAAGATGTTTTTGCAATTTCTCTATAAAACTTCTCCAGTGAGTGATGCTTCTTTGAAACAAATTAGAGCCTAGGACTTCAAGAGCCAATGGAACTCCACCAACATAATCAACTACAACTTTAGACAGCTCAACATATTCTTTCATTGGATGGGGCTTCTTAAAGGCATGCCAACTGAAAAGTTGAAGAGACTCATCATTGTTCAGTCCTTTGGCGTGATATTGTTTTTCCACTTCAAGTCGTGTGAGTAAACGTTCATCTGAAGTTGTAATTACGATTCTACTTCCAGGACCAAACCAGTCTCGCTCTCCTGCCAATCCACGCAAATGTTTCAATTGATCAACATCGTCAAGAATAACAAGTACCCTTTTACGACAAAATCGGCTTTTGATGCGATTGATTCCTTCATCATCATCGTTAAGCCCAATATATGCCTTCAAAATATCACGAAGAAGCTGTTTTTGTAATTGAAGTAGACCTCGGTGTTGATCTAATCTTTCTCTGATATTCAAAAGGCAACTACTTCCTTCAAATTTATGACAAATTTGGTTAAAAACAGCTTTTGCTATGGTTGTCTTGCCTATTCCTGGCATCCCATAGATTCCCACAATTCGAACTTCATTTGTACCAACACATACCATGGAAATGATATCTTTGACTTGAGAATCAATACCTACTGGATATGTGGCAACTTTCACGTATCTGGGATTCAATTTACTTAAAACTTCTTCAACAATCATTTGAATTAATTTTGATTCATGCCTGTGCATAGTAAAAGAAAGTCATCACTCATCAATGAAACATAAGCTGATTTGGAAATAAGATGGTGAAAATGATGCTAGTTTAAATTACAAAATGTAAATGGAGTAAAAGTTATAAGCATTTGCGATCGATATAGGGAAAGGAAAGAAGTACCCATTTGCGATACTGTGAAGATCAAACCCAGTTAATCTTCCAGCCTCCACAAGAGCTTTTCTCCACTTTTGGACCTTCTCCATTTCTTCCTTAAAACGTTCTTCATGTCTATCAAAGGCTTCAGCAAAACTCCTTTTCTGTTTTCTAATATCAGAAGGATCAATATCATAGAAAACTGGTAGAACAATCTGACCAGCTGTTTGACTGCAATCAAGAATCTCTGAAAGTTCATCAAGACACCAAGTGGAGGAAGCATAGCCCTTAGAGAAAACCACTATCGAAATCTTGGATTCTTGAATTGCTTTGAGGAGGTGTGAGGAGATTTCTTCTCCTTTACGAAGTTCGTTATCATCTCGAAATGTATGGATTCCTGCTTGGAGTAAAGCAGTGTAAAGATGATCCGTAAAATTCTTGCGAGTATCTTCACCTCTAAAACTTAGAAACACATCATAATGCCATCCAAGTCTAGAGGAAGAGGAAGACATGAACATCTAGCAGTGGTTTCTGCAGGTCAGAGATAGAGATGGGGCAGTGTGGTTGCTTGTTACTGGTGTGGAAGAGAGAGACACGGACGATGGTGATGATTCGTTTTATCATTTTATTATCAAAATCGTTTTCAAAAGTTGATTTAATAAAAAACTTGACTATGAGGGGTTAGCAAATCGTAGCTTATTAGTTAATAATAATACTAAAAAATGACGTGAAAGTGGGAGATCTAAAGCTCATATGGTAGCTTCCACAGTGTAAAAATAGTGTGAACGTTATCATGTTGGTGAAGAATTTTGGTAAAAATCAATTAGGAGTAGTTTGATTAATTGAATCCAGCTGCCACGAAGTTGCTTGCTTTACAAAGTTGCTTGCTTTACAAAGTTGCTTACAATTATTAGAATATTATACTCGCTCAGTTTCCCGCCCATATCTGCGAACAGAGAAACCAAAAGCAATTATTAGGATATTAGAACATTATACTCGCTCATTTTCCCGCCCATATCTGCGAACTTTTTGTAATTTTGAAGAAGAAAAAACAATTATAAAAAAATATACAAAGCTAACAGACACAGAACAAAAAAAGAATATCAAAACTAAAGGAGTTGATACGCCATATTTAAAACCTTGTCGTGTTAATTGTTTCTTGCTACATCCACAGCATCGATCATGCCATTAAAGCTTCACCAGCCAATAACCTGTTAATCGTGCTCACTGGGTTTGGACTTCATGAACATGGAAATTCAACAGCTGGTGAACTCCCTTGGCTCCATAGTGTGCCTTGGAAGTCTTGTTCTCTTTGGTTTTTCTTTATTCCAGTGGACGGAACGGACCACAGCCACTGATCAAGAGTTAAAAAATGTCGGAAATTTGTTGCCTTTTTCCTAAAGGTAACAGTACTTCTTCCAGCAAAATATCATTACATATGTTGAACAGGTGAAACTTTTATATAAAAAAACATAATGAATAGAAAATGTTGAGATGCTACCCGGGAAAATGGTAATCTTATATGAATTAAATTAAAGTACATCATGAGTATTAATTTATAATAAATCAAATACTTAAAGATTAAATTAAAAAAAATCCAAAAAAAAAATAGAATTCCCAACATCCAAGAAGGATGAAGAAAAAAAACAAAGAATTAAATATATCTTTAATTGTTAATTTGGTTTTTCCCACATATATATTAGATTATGTTTTTTGTTACAATTGTTTTTTAAAAAAATAATAAATTTTGATTAACAATGCGAATATGAAATAAAATTCATATGCCATTTTTATTTTGATGAAAATGTTCTTTGAATTATCAAAGGAGAAAAAAGCCAAATGATTTCTGATTGCCAAAAATTTATATTTAACCAAAAGGATTTTGTTAAAAAAAAAAAAACAACCCAGCACATTGCGTATTATATAGTACCTAGAATCTGGACACCAATATGGTGGCAGAAAAATTAAGAAAGAAGATTTTTGGCTTTTAAAACTTGTTTTATATAAAACATTATAGAGACCAAAATAAAATTATTTTTAGCTTAAAAACACCAAAAAAACAATTCCTCAATATGAAACTCAACCCGATTCTCAAAATCTTAAAACTTGTTTTTTAGGCATGATAAGCCTAAATAATATTTTAATAGAACTCTCTGTCTAAAAAAACTTTTTGACATTAATTTTTTTTTTTTGTTGCTCGAATCAATTCTAATTGAGGATGGATTTTATCGCTTTAACATTATTTTTCTCTGATTCTTTTTCATTCAAGTACTTAAAAATATAAAAACTAAATTTTTGAATCAAAATAAACTTATTTTATAAATACGAGATTGGACATTCATTTTCTTGGTGTTTTTGCATTTTTGAATCTAGTAACCATTCATTGAATTCTTTCAATTCATTTAACTAATTGTTCTTTAATTAAAGCATATAAGAGCGCAATTAAAAAAAAATAAGGATGAAATTTTTTTGCTACAAGGCATATCCTAGGTGTTCCAGTAGATGTGATAATTTTCTCTCTCTGAATGATATGCTTCAAAGGAAAGAGGAATAATGGTACTGGCAAATTAAAAACCTGAATTTCGATATCATTTCTGTTTTTGTTTTAAAAATATTAAAATACCAACATTGGTTGTCGTCAAAGATTTCAAAAGCAGACAAAGTGGCTTTAAGAAAATTGGATTCTAACCGTTTTGATTAGTGGGTTCAAATGATGAACCTTGAAAACTTGGATTCTGCTTTTTTATATATATATTTGTTTGGGCTTAAACTGCAGTTTAGTGTATAAAAAGCGGGCTCATGGGCCTGCTCGCCCCTGCAAAATTATATCACTTCAATTACAGGAAACAAAATAACTAAGCCGAAGAACCCTACCCACAAGGAAATGAACAGAACCCATGAAAATGATAAAGTAGCTGATGTGAGGAATTTACAAATGATTCAAAGGGTTACTTGGTGCAAGCCATGTAATAAATACATAGTGGCAAATAGTTACTAGCAAAATGACAGTTTTGCGCAAGAAGAAGCCATGCCGAGGAGAAGCAGAGAGGTATCAAATTTGTTTCTTGTTCTATTCATTTTCATTTTGTAACGATCTGATCCCAAATAATATATATAGGATTTGGGGTCTAATTTAATATCTATAAAACATTTATTATCCATTAAATAAAGTAATTATTTTAAAAAATTCACTTATATTAATGTTCACCAAATTTGTATTAAATTATCATGTTTTAGGTCCTGTTTGTTTGCTCGAAAGTATTTTTTTTTTAAGTGAATTCCGTGAAAGTGAATTCTAAGAAAATGAATTATTTTTCAATGTTTGGTAGTATAATAGAAAATAAATTGAAAAATATTTTTCAGTGTTTGGTTATGTTATGAAAAACGAGCTGGAAAATAACTTATTAATGTTTTATTTGTTTCAAGTTTATTAAAATAATGAGAAACAAATCTTACAAATTAAAAAGTTAAATGAGAATGAAATTAAAAATAATAATTTAATAAATTATCTCAAATAAAATAAATAATAATCAAAATAATAGAGATCAAATTTAAAAAATAAAAAAGTTAAAAGACAAAGAAATTAAAATAATAATAATTAACATTTCATAAATTATTTCAAATAAAATAAGCAACAATCAAAAGAATGAGGACCAAATTTAATAGATAAAAAATTTCAATTAAAAAATGATAAGAAAAAAGCAAATAATAATTATAAAAATGAGGACTAAAGTTATATAAAAATTAAATTATAAGGGATGAAATTGAAAAACAAATATTCAAAACAAAACATATATAACAATCAAAAGTTTGAGGACTAAATTTGATATAATTAAAAATAATATAATATTTCTAAATTTTTCACAATTCTGAAAAGTGTTTTCCGCTCAAAATAAAAGAAAAACACTTTTCTAAAAATCAAATCAAATTTTATTTTGACTAAAAAGTATTTTTTGTTGATCAAAAAATATTTTTTGTTGACCAAACTTTTCTAATAAGAAATAAATAAAGAAAAGTTTGAAAAATAGTTTTTCAAAAACCATTTTCTGGAAAACAATGAGTGTTTGAAAATGTGATCATTTTTCTTTTCAAAACATTTAAAAAGTGTACTTCAAAAAATATTAAATTAATGCATTTTTAATGTTTTTCAAAATATATTTTAAAACTTGTTTTTAATTATTTTTATACAAAATAACATTTATCATGTCATTCGAGCTAATCCTGATATATTTGACGGTGAGAACTATTTTAGAAAATACATAGTTAAATCATCACCCCAGCTTATAGTCCAAACAGCATAGTTTGGGAAATTCGGTGTAGTGATTGAGAACCGGCTGGATAAAGCTGTTTTCATTTAATAATTTCTCTTGCCTGTACATAGTTGATCTATTTTAATATATTTTTTTTTTAAGTTATTTTTGAAAACAATAACTACCATCAAATTCTATGTATCCATTTTGTGGCCATAGATGGTTAGACTTTTCAAAGAAGGCAATTGTGCAGCAACATTTTATGGACCAAAAAAGCTGTAATTTGATCTGGAAGAAAGATCCAATTCACTTAGTCGAGGGAACTTGATGATGCCATCTGTGGTTAGTGCATCTCCTTCTCCACTGTAAAATATTTGCTTTAAATTGTCAGCATCAGAAATCGTCATCTTTTCCAGGTTCGGAAGGCTTGGAGACACGGATACAGGGAAGACATATTCCAGTTTACCACATCTAAATACAACGAGAGTTTTTAATTTTGGGAAGCGAGGAGACTCTGGAATTATTTCCCTATCACCATCCTCTTCTCTGATAATATGCATCAATTCACGACAATCTCTTTCTGAAATCTTTGTCTCGACAAAGTCTTTCTACGTGCAAGCAAACGATCTGTGTAGAAAAATCTGTCACATGGAGCCAGGCCAGTTCATGCCGCACACAACCTAATGCTTTATGGCAGAGCGCGGCCTGTGAAAATGGCTCATTATGACAGAAAAACCTGTCACTTTTTTTTTTGTCGACTAATTGATTCATTTATTTACCAAAAACTTAAAAACATTATATTCTTCCTTTTAAAATATCTTGATTCAATTATTTCTGTATCTTTTTTATTTTAGTAATTTTTCATTTCTTTAAAGAATCTTATATAAATTCATCAATTATATTGAAGAAATAAATAGATAGATTGGATGTCGGAGGAGATTTCTTATTCTTGGAAAAACATATTTCAAAGCAATATTTTGCAGTTGAAACTTATTTTATATTTTTTAAAAAAATTACTTAAACATAATATTATTATATTGTTAAATAATTTTAATATATTGATGTTAAAAATAATTTTTGAAATTGCGTGCGTTACTTGCCTGTATAGAATGTCAAGTTCTTTGATCACTTGCCCAAACTCAACATACTACTTTGAAATCTGTCATAAAGTTCATGGTTTGCCTCAAGTGTTTCAGTGCTTACTTCTAAGGAAATTTTGTTAGCTGAGGGTTTTGTAGCAACACAAGAATATACCTCCTTGGTTTTGTAAAGATATCGGAAGACCTTTATTCACTTTGATTGATAATAATACTGTTAAGTGTTTCAGTGCTTCAGTGCTTGCCTCAAGTCTTGTCACATGTGAAGAGAT